TCCAGCCTGGACAGAACAAGAGCTTGAACAAGGAGTTGTGTTGCATGTTCTGAAAGAAAGGGCCTGATCTTCCTAATAAGACAAATAATAATAATAATAATAGATAAAGCTGATATTTCATTCACTATAAATAAAAGAGTAAGGGATGGCATCTGCTTGTCTGTGGTTATTTGAAATTGTAAAATAATTTAAAAATACTTCTGCAAAAGCAATTTATGCTTATAAGACTGTCTGACAAATGGTGGGAAAACATGCTGCCTCAACCATTTTAAGCAGAGACCGAACAGCTCTCCACTCCACACTGAATGTCAAAAACCCACCACTAATGTTCTGTCATTTCAGCTCACACAGGAAAGAATTCAAAGCTTTCAAATATAAGATTTTATACTGTGTTGTTCTAAACTATTCTAAATGATATGGTTATACTTTTTTATATAGGAATGTAGGAAATCATATCTTTACAAACAAGTATGAAATCATCACGTCTCTGCCTGTAGACTTGTGTGTGCGTCATGAGAAACAGAAACTGCTGTGGGTTGAGCTACAGAGGAAGAGCATACTTTTGTGCGGCCAAAGCCCCCTGTTTGACCACAATGTAAATGTGAATATAATTACAGCAAGGGAAGGAAATGCTGATAAGAAAACAAGCTGCAGTGTAAATCCACACTGTGCTTACCTCAGCCATTAAACTAACATTTTCCATATTAAGCCTACTATTATTCAAGTGTCATTACACATGAGATGGGCACTGACTGATGCATTGAAGGAATCACTTTCTCTTATGTGTTATTTTTAGGATGCCCTCTTGTGGCTCAAACCAGTAAACACTACTAAACTGATTAAAGATAACCAATGTTCAGAATAAATTAATGAATATATTTATATATTCACATTCATAAATTCTTTGGTTTCTCTGCTGCCACTGTTTTCTTCAAATCTCACCATAGATTTGCAATGGGCTTTAAATCCAGAAATTGAATGGGCCACTCAAGAACATTCCAGGCAGGAAACCCACACCAGTCTTTGGCAGATTTGGCTGGATCATTGTCCTGCAAAAAGTCTAATGATCATCGTCTCTTTACTTCATTAAATATTCATCTAGAACTTTCCGAGGCCTATCCGAATTCTTTTTTTTTTTTTTGCAAAAGTATATAACAAAGTACAAATACTTTGTTACTGTGACTAAGCAGGCTTTAGATTTGGGACATTTCTACTTGACTTTACCTTCACAATTTCTTTTTACCAGAGAAAATGTACTTTTACAACAATAACATTTCTCCAGATCCTTTTGTTACATTTGAGATTTGGAGTTAGCAACTCCTCGGGGGAAACTGGAAATAAGACGCTAGGTAAGCAGGGGGCGCCCTAGATCAAAACAAACTGTTTTATCACTGTTTCCAAAGATAACTACACACTTCACACTTTACATTCTACATGCCACTTACAACAAAGTTCCAAAAAGTACTATGGTATTACCATGGTGTTTTGGACATGCCAGAGTAGCCTACCATGTAAATATCATGGTACATGAATTGTATGCTATGAATAATCATGCTACTGTATATATACTGTATCCTACTATCACTGTGCTTTGGTACTGGCACAGTACTTTTTTTTGAGGGGTATTAAAACAAAATTCAGTTAAATCCAGTGGGCACAACAGGACAATCCCATTCAATGTAAAGCTGACCGACAGACATCAGATCTACACTTCCTCTTCTTTCCCGAGTATGATGACTGTTTATATAGTTGCCATGGCGAGCATGGAGTGTTGTCAACCAATAACACCACACACTCATTTGCTCTCTCTCAAATCTAATGCTGGTTTGCCAGAAGCGTTCTTACCACTGATCTATCATAGATCAGTGGTTCTTACCTAGCCACCAGTGTATTTATGTCAAATCAAACCAAAGTACACAAAGATGTACAAGACAAGAAATGAGCCTTCTCAGACTGTCCAGTGTGTGTTAAGGCATAGAAAACCCACTCGTTCAAATTAAGGATGGCGAAATTAAGGATTGCAAATTAGGAAAATGAAACCTCCTCTGTATAAGGGCATGCCTCAGTGTCAAAGGTCAAGCCTCCACAAGGCAAGACTGTTTATTTGCCTTTCGGGTGCTTAAGCGAGTTAAAAAATTAGTTTAACAAGTTCTGATGCTCTAGAAATAAACTCTGCCTGACATCACACAATGACCTGGATGACTAAGAACCTTCATAAGCATTCATAAAAGCGGACAGGAAATCCCATGTTGAGACTTGTTGAGAGAGAGTTACAATGAAGTAATTTAGTATCTAATATTAATGCTTTAGAGGACAGGAGGTGGGGCAAATATCTAAAGAAAAGCAATTGTAGAATATTTAGAGACATGTCTACAGTTTAGATTTCAACAAAGGGCCCTACTTAATATCTTCAAAACAAAACTTAACAGAGGAAACAACTTAAATCAAATGCTTCACAAATGAAAGTTTCAAATATCAGTCTTTGTGTAATTGACAAAGACAATGCAGCATTAATAAATGGTCGCATGAGGGAACTTTAAATTTGCTAAAATTGTTCAAAACTGTTGGTATATAAACAAGGGTCTTCCACAATTTAATACTCTTCAGAAGAAGAAATTCATAGCCAATAGTGCTTACTAGATACATTCTCTGCAAACAGACCAGCTCAAAGGGGAAATTATCAGTTTATAACTTACACTTTTAGAACAAAATTGCATACGGACTGCTTTAAAAGGACTTTTACAGTGGGCTTTGTCTTTTTGAAGTTTTGAAGAAGAAAAAAAAACTGCATGAGGATTATTCAAAACTTGCCATTTCTCCAAAAGAAAGACATATAGCCATTTCTTAAAGCAATGGTTCTTACCCAGGGGGCTGTAGGACAACTAAAGTACTTAAATAACTCATCATTATATTATTTTATATATTAAAATAATCTGAATTAATATGAATAAAAAAACAAGGAGTAAATTGAAATGTCTATTTTATCTTATTTATTTATTAAACACATTGAAAAACAGACAGTTCTTCAAACTTCTGGACTCATCAAATTGGTTAATTTAATATAATCAATAATAGTAGTAATCAATAGTAGTAATTCACAGCATAAATACCAGAAATATATTAGCCTATCTGGGACAACAAGGGGAGTTCAAGTCAAATAGGTTAAATTAAGTAAATGAAGGAAGGTAAAAACTGAAATTAAAAAAAGACAATTTTATGCATATAAAACACATCTTCATTAATAATTAAAATGAGACCAATGCCTTTCCCAGGGGTTTCTCATCAGATTTGGGATAAACAGAAATCTCAAATCAACACACTGTTATACTTTTTTTTATTTTTTATTTTTATTGAGAAATCATTTGTTGGTTTGCTATTGAGAACTAGAATGAGTCAGTCATTGAATAACAAAACATTAAAAAAAAATACTTATTGCTAGAGATGGTAAAAGCACATAAAATTTCACACAACTAAAAATAAGAAAGAACAATTCTTAAAAAAAACAAAAAAACATCCATTCAATAATATCCATAAATGAACTAAAGTAAAACATCTTGGTGAAATTCCTTTTGACATTTGTCTATAAATGTGGCATTATTTTATATATTAAAATAATCTAAATTAATATGAATAATAAAAAAACAAGGAGTAAATTGAAATGTCTATTTTATCTTATTTATTTATTAAACACATTGAAAAACAGACAGTTCTTCAAACTTCTGGACTCATCAAATTGGTTAATTTAATATAATCAATAATAGTAGTAATCAATAGTAGTAATTCACAGCATAAATACCAGAAATATATTAGCCTATCTGGGACAACAAGGGGAGTTCAAGTCAAATAGGTTAAATTAAGTAAATGAAGGAAGGTAAAAACTGAAATTAAAAAAAGACAATTTTATGCATATAAAACACATCTTCATTAATAATTAAAATGAGACCAATGCCTTTCCCAGGGGTTTCTCATCAGATTTGGGATAAACAGAAATCTCAAATCAACACACTGTTATACTTTTTTTTATTTTTTATTTTTATTGAGAAATCATTTGTTGGTTTGCTATTGAGAACTAGAATGAGTCAGTCATTGAATAACAAAACATTAAAAAAAAATACTTATTGCTAGAGATGGTAAAAGCACATAAAATTTCACACAACTAAAAATAAGAAAGAACAATTCTTAAAAAAAACAAAAAAACATCCATTCAATAATATCCATAAATGAACTAAAGTAAAACATCTTGGTGAAATTCCTTTTGACATTTGTCTATAAATGTGGCTCTGAATAGCTCTCTCACTCTTGAGATACATTAAAACAGCCTCTCGCTCATACCAACAGCTTCCCTTCTCAGAAAATACTTATCTGACCACATTGTGGATAAAGAGAGCATCTGTACAAAAGGATCTACAACAATCATGTCAGTGCGGGTCAGTTGTGTCAGTATAATGAGTGCATTCTGACAAGAAAAAAATGCAAGTTCGGGAAACTGAGATGCATATTGGCATTTCTCTTTGTTTGTGGGCAGGACAGAGAGAGTGAGGAATGAGTTAATGCCAACAGTGTGGATATCAGTTATCAGGGTTTTTGAAATGCTTGACAAGCGATCTTTAAGGCAGGCCGCTCAAAGCCAAGCCACAGATTGACAACCTGTTTGGTCCGTTCCCTCGAGTGGTCACTTCTGGATCCCAGAATGATGCAGTGCAGCCTTGAAGCACCCATCCATCAGCCATATTTCCTTTAGCCTGTGGATCAACACTACGCTCTACCGCAGAGAGGGAGGGTCAGTCATTTTAGGTTCCCTACTGTTGGCGGCATAACTCTGACAGGCAGTCAGGGCGGGGGGCACAGCGGACGTCCGCAGACGATGTGACAAACAAAGCCTCTGGGAGTGCAGCGGTTTAAAAGGTCAATCTAAAATTTTAGTTTCTGCCACACTCACAACTGACAAGTTCTTGGCTCTTTCGTTAGAGTCCTTCCTATTAAATGCTATAAAATAATCAACTGTACAAACTGCAACATTGCTGGTTTAGCCATTGTGCAGCACCAAGTTTGTACTTAACGAAATATTTCATTCCTGGTGCTCTCATCCTATCAGCAGTCAGGATGTGTAGAGGGGAAAAAAACATTGGATGCTTTATTCCTGAGAATAATAAGTGTATTGCTCCCAAGTGGGAATATGGAGCCATCAATTGGAGTGGCTCAATCCTCGGAGTGCATATAGACAGGTTCTCCATCTCTTATTAAGCAATGTGCATATCCACATTCTGTCCCAAAGCATAATACATCAAGTCGGTCGAAGTGGTTTTGGGCAGGATCACAGCAGTGCAAAGGGGGACTGGTTTAATCCATCTCCAGGTCCATAAGCTTGTTACGGGGACGGGGCGTATGCATGGGGTTTTTGGAGAAACAGCAGTGGGCGACAGCAAGACCCAGCAGCACTGAGAGAAGACCAGCGATCACAGCAGCAGCCAAACCATATCCCACTGGCATCTTCAAAGATTCCCACACTGCAGAATAACAAACAGAATGATCACTGTCAATCACAAACTTTCATAAAGGCACCAGATATGAAAATATAAAAGCCATGGAAGCAAAGTTTGGGAGGAGCAGCTGGGGATGTTGATTTCAGAAGAGTTCCCGTAGTCTTTGACATAAACGGTGAAGAGAGGATATGAAGTCATCAATTTCTCACATGCAAAAGCATAACATTTTTAAAGAAATTGTATTTATGACAGACAAATAAAGCCTCCCAGAACTCTGTAGAAATCTCCATCCCAGATGGTCCTCCCAAGCTTGCTTTATTGGTAGGCCGTGGAAACCTTCATGAAATGTTTTAGTAGCCGATCCTTCTCCTGGAGGGCCACTTTCTTGCAAAGTTTAGCTCCACCACAACTGCCTGCATGTTTCTAGCGATCCTGAAAACCTTGATTAGCTGGTTCATGTGCGTTTAATTGGAGCTTAAGCTAAACTCTGCCAGAAGGTGTCCCTCCAGGAAAGCAGAATTGGACACCCCTGGTCTATACGCCATATATTGGAGTCATTACTAAAGTCTTTTGTAAGACCCAAACTAATAAAACTTTCTGAGATTAATTTAATAAGAGTGGAGCCCAGAAAGTTTTACTTGCTTGTTGTGACAAGGGCATCAATTCACTCTTTTCCCAGTTTATCTAATAGAGATCAGGGCGATATTGAGGGAATGTCTGGATTAGAGCGGATGTGACAGGTCAGTGGGTCTAAAGCAGGGGTCTCCATCCCTGCTCCTGGAGAGCTACCATCCTGCAGACTTCAGTTCCAGCCCTGCTGCAACACTCCTGCCTGTAATTGTCAAGTAACCCTGAACCCATTTTTTCTAAGCTTGATTGTGTTTATGGGGTGCAGTCTAACATGTGTTAATGCTTCGTTTTTAAAAAACGCATTCTTTTTCACATAATTTACCTTTATTCCACACCGCTCTGTCCCTTCACTGAGAAACACGCTGATCATTTCCTGTTTTTATGAAGCCCCGCCCTCAGAAATAGGCGATGGGCTCTGATTGGTTAGCTAGCCCAGTGTGTTGTGATTCGCTAAATCGCCTCTAGTGCGTGTCTAAAGGTCTCGCCCCTCTCGCCCCTCAGCGCATGTGCTCAAGTTGTATTGTAAACAATGGCATCGTCTATATTGCTTATCAGTTTAAGCCCGATTGAGACGCAGAGGATATTAGTGAAGAGGATCCTGCAGAACCTGTGCAATCACGGCTCTTAATGGTATGTTTTTTGATTGTACATACTTTTTGATACGCTGTTATTTGTAAATGCTACTGCTTCTGTTAGCTTTTAATATACGGTTTTATTTAAAGCTGATTAAAGGTTTAATACAGTACGGCAACCGCA